AGGAGCAATTCAAACCAAACCACTTAGGATTATTTTTCAAAATATAACATGCTCATCACTCTAAAAAATGAGCTTATAATTAGGTCATTTAAAACAATAGATGGAAGAGGTGTAAAAATTGATATAGCTTATGGGCCTTGTTTCACTATTCAACGTGTGGAACATGTGATTATTGTCACACCTCTTCATTTTTTACAATTGTTAAGGATGTGACGGGTTTTAAAAAAAAAAGAATTAAGTAAAGGAAAAATATTTTTTTTTAGTCGCCACTTAAAATTGAATTTTTAGGTGTTTCAAGTCACGTGGTAATTCATAATTTAAAAGGAAAAAACTCTTTATTTTTTTTAGTCTACGAAACTAAGATATGGTAAGGAATTCTATTGACCGGGGTAAGGTGTGAGGCACCCCCGAGTCCCGTGGTTCTAGCACGATCGCTTTATTAACTTATGTTTGGCTAATTTTTTATTTTTTATTTTTGGATAAAAATGTAAATTCGTGTTAGTTACCAATTTTTTTATTTTTTTTTTCAAAAAATGATTGTCCTAGGAGCGTAACCGCACACAAGACCTTTTTTTTTTAGAAAAAAATACACACCAAGGATCGTAACCGAACACATGGTGGTATTTAAAATTTTATTTATTTATTTATTTTTAAAAAAAGACTGATAATTAATGACTCCAATTTTTATTTAATAATAAAAAAATTAATGAATAAATGAACTTGTTACAATATAAGACATGAAAAAAAATCTTCTTTTTTTTTGCAAATTGCTAATTAACGTTTTTTTTTTAAAAAGAAACAAATATATATATTAAGTATCACTACTTGACAATAACAAAAAAAAAAGAGTATATATTTTTTTTAATAGAATAATGACTAAGCCCTTTTAAAAACAAGTAGTGATATACTATTTTTTTTTTCATATTGATACAATTTCAGAAATGACCCTTTAGTGAAATTTTCAGTTTTGCACAAAATGGACACATTGTTCTCTTTTGAAGTAAAATTGCAATTATAGCCATTTTTATCTAATAGTTAAATTACTAACCAAAAGTAGCCAATTTTGTATTTTTGTTTCAATAACCATTTTCATATATTTATTTAAGAAAAAAAAAATAGAATTTATGAAATAATCAGATTTACATTTTTTTTTGTTGCAAAAATGACCAGTTTTATGTTTTGTTTTGCAAAAAAAAAAACAGCCTCTTCTTTTCTTCTTAAAATGACCAGAAACTAAAAAAAACTTTGATATTGTTATTTCTTTTTCTTTAGCAGAGCGTGAACTTACTTATCAATCCTACGATAAAGTAAAATTAAACTAAACACCACATTAGTAATAAACATATATGTACATAATAATAAAGCATAATCATATAAAATTCACAATAGACTTAACTAAATCAAAACAAAGTTAAAATAAACAACTTAATCAAAATATAAAAAGAACATGAAACATTAATATAAGATTACATTGTGAAATGTAAAAAACAAATACCTAAAGATGATGACAAGCAAATAGTGGAAGCAAATTAGTTGAACCACGAACTCACACAAAACTGAAATTTTTTTTCTTCTTGTTTTAGAAGAAAACTTTTTACTCTATATTTCTTATGATTTTTTCTTCTTCTAATTTTCCCTCTTCTCTTCTTTGTTCTTTTTTTTTTTTTGTTCCTCTCTTTTGTTTGTTTTTGAAATGAAAGAAGAATGAGATTTAAATAGGTGTTGAGCATTAAACTTCCCGCTCTTCTTGAAAGCTTAAGAGTCAATGCATGCATTTGACTCTTTACCTTACCAATGTGCCACCCAAGATGACCAATGAAATTTTTTCCTTTTCTTTTTCCAAGATAAAATTAATTAAAAAGACTGCATTACCCTCTTAGATGACCCATTTCTTTTATTCATTAATTGAATAATAGCTAAATAGGTCATCTGAACATTTTAAAATAGGCCCAAATGTTGACCCATTTCACCAAGACCCAAAATCAAAAGAAAATCAGTCCACTAACACAAAATTTGTCACGCCCCGAGACGCGGACACGGGACCTAAGACCACAAGTGATCCCAAGCTAACCCTGCTGGCATGATCATGGGCATACTAAAGATAATAAACTGATGCGGAAGCTAAATCATAAATAAAATGAAAAGATGGGGAAAATCCATATACTATAACTGAGATATATGAAAACTGATAAGTTTAATACAAAGAAGATATTAACTCAATTCTAAGCTAAATCTAACTATATCTGAAAATAGCCTCTAACTGACTAGAAATGTTGGGACATGCTCCAACTAGATGTAGCAGAACTGAAACTAAAGGACTAAAAATCCTGAAAAGAAACTCATGACTATTGTCCTCGGAGAATGTGGACTCACCACTGATTCTGCTGAACTGAATATCGGGAACCGATCTAAGCGTGATCTGGATGCTGAGAACCTGAACCTACATCACGAGAAGATGTAGCGCACGTATGCGTCAGTACTTGAAAGGTACTGAGCATGCATGATAGAGTAAAGCTGAAATAACATATAACTGAACAAAGCAATAAAATAATGAAATAATCTGAACATGATATATATGTTGAATACTGAGTTAATTGAATGCAATGACCAAATTTATAACATGCTGAAACTGAATATTGACTGTACTGTAAATGAGGTCAATGCAATAGAATCTGAGTGAACTGTGGGAGCTACTAATAACCGACAATAAAACCACATGAGCTAAATGTGGAGTCCGATGTATACTCCCCATCGAGAGGACCCAATATACCCGGCCAAAGGTATAGAGGCATGACTGACGTGATTACTAACTGATATTGCCCACAGAGGGGACTAACACCTACGTGGCTCATAGTTCTGGGACTATATGGTTACACTGAACCCTAGTCCAACTCGGTATTATGCTACTCCCAATGGATTAAGTAATTAACACATTATGACTGAATTTTTGTAAATTATTGGATACCTCAAACTGAACATACAAACTGAGAATGCAACAATTAATCTGATAATGATGCATTCATAAACTGAGGCATGTATAACTAAATACATTGTGACTGAAATACTAAATAGCTCAAAATACTGACATGCAAATACTTATACTTGAAAACTCTTTTTTAGAAAACAATTCAAAATCATATTATACTATGATCATTGATGACTTGGAAAGTCATACTGCATAAATATTGATGGTATATCTAGATACCATACTGTTCATACATTGCCGACTTACTCGATTGTCATACTAATTATGTTTTAAAAGCTCTTTCTCAAAACTCATCTTAACTTTCTCAAAAACTCAGTTTAAAACTCAAGTGTTGTCTAAGAAAAAGGCTACTCAAGATTTATAACTCAAAATAGGGCTTATGCTGAAATATACTAATAATGTGGTGTTCAAAACTGGAGCATGCATATCTGAATAACTGAAATATTTGACCTAGCATGTGTAATTCAAGAACTAAAGAAATACATAGCTAGGGTTCTGAAATTCATGCAATAAACTCAGTACAAACATGATAATCTGATTTGGGACATATTCATAAGTAATTCATGATAATCTCCTGAAATTCTAGAAACCCTAGGTCTGTTCATAGTAAGAGAATCAAGAAACTGATTGAATTCTAGGGACCTAATGGGTGAAAGGAACCCACTAGTGAAATCCCACATACCTGGTGACGAATTCTACGGAGAAATCTTTAGATTTCGGGGATGAAACTGATGGAACCTTGCTGCGTTCTTGAACTAGGGTTCTTGACTTCTCTTCTCCTCTTACGCTCTAATTTTTCTAAGTTTTGATTAATGATTTGACTTAGATAAGTTCTAGTTATATTTCTAGGCTTAAACTAACTAAAACCTCATAATTTCGGGTCCAACGAAATAGGAAAAGACCAAAAGACCCCTGACTTAACGACTGTCGGAGAGATCGACGGATGGGACCTATGGGCCGTAGGTCAATCTACGATCCGTAGATTGGAGTCGTAGGTCAAGTCTGCCCAACATGGCTTCACTAAAACGAGCATAACTTTTTACTCAGAGGTCAAATTTTAGCAAACTCAGTGGCGTTGGAAAGATGATTCAATTATCTATGATATCATAGGTCATAGGACACATGATTCCTTTTGTGCTAAGAGTTATGACTATTTGAAGTTGACCCAATCAACAATTTTCCTCTAACTGGCTACTGAACCTCACCTACGGTCAGACCTACGGACCGTGGATCGAACGACGGTCTGTGCTGGTCATCCGTCATTTGTGTCAGAGGCTGGGTAAAGGGGCCTCGATCTACGGACACAGACCACAGATCATGGTCTGACCTACGGACCGTGGGTCTGTCCGTGGGTCGAGACTTAGCCGATTTTCTGAGCTAGGTTTGGGGAGGGGTTGTAGTGGTGAACCACGGACCACCAACACGGGCCATGGTCTGACCTACGATCCATGGATGGAAACCGTGGGTTGCACCTGCAACTTCTCAAAATCTGCATTTTTGGTCTGTTCCGAATACGGGGTGTTACAAAATCAAAACATCCAAACTATTTTGAATATCAAACACAACAAATAAGGCAGAAAAATGAAAATAAAAAATAAAAACAAAATTTAAAAAATAAAATTCAAGCAAAACAACAAAACTTCAACATGATAAAACTTAAAGAAATACCAACAAAACAATACAAATCTGGCACCAAAACAACTTATATGGTTAAAAATAATGTGTTAATGACGGATTTGGATAGAGGATGAGAGGGGGAAATATTGACATAAATTTTTGGGTCAATGGGGGTCGCCGGAAAACTTCGCCGGAATTTTTTTTGACGAATTTTGGACATAAAATTTATATCCAAGGATAGCCCTTGAAAATCTCTACACGTTTATGTAAAAAGTATAGGACGGGGATACCAGAACTTCATAAATCTAAAGAAAAAAGTGAAGATTTATGTTTGGTTTTTCTTAGATCTACGGAGTTTAGCTATGGATAAGGATGAATGGTTTGCGGATTTGTGTAGAGGAGGCCGGTGAAAGGAAGAAATGGTGAAATTTTTGGAGATTTTCTCGGCCAAGGGGTGGTGGCCGCCGATGGCAGTGGCGGCGGTGGCCGGCTAGCAGTAGGTGGAAGAAGTGGGAGAAAAAAAAATTGATTTTAGGAGTTTTTGTATTTTTTGGTAAGGTCCCATAAGAGCCCTTGGATCAAAATATCATGAATGGTTGAGATTTATCTTGACCATTTCTATTGGACCGGGTCAAAATTGATTGGCCTATCAGAATTTGGTCTAAATCAGCCCAATTCAATCAAAATTGGGTAATTTGGGCCAATTAAATAAAACAAAACAAACAAAGACAAGCAACCCAAAAATATAAAAAATACAAAACAAAAATATAAGAAAAGACCTTACTATATATTGTAGGAGTAAAATAAACACGTCAAAAATTAGGTGTTCACAGCATGCCCCTCTTTGCTTGGAAACATGAAGAGTTTTCAAGCAAAGAAAGTGAACGAAGTGGCCAAGTTTTTACTGTTTCAAACTCCGTTGAAGCCATTTTGAAAAAGATGACTAAACCTTGCTTCAGAGGTTGCCTACATATCCTTGATTAAAAGGAAATCAGGTCAGTGTAGTTTGAGAAAATTGATAGCCGAAACTATCGGAAATTGTAGTCAAAAGATTGCTTCTTATTGCTTGTCATCATCTACGGTCTATAGTTACATAAAGAAAAGAGCTAGAGAACTCCGCTTCTCTACAATATAGAAGTTACAAGAACCCTACTTGATGTTTTTTATTAGGGTCCTGTCTTGATCTTCAGCTTGCTCTGTGCGTTATCTCTGAGATTGATCGTGATGCTCTCTTGGCGGCTTGTGGATCATTCTTAGGTGCATGTTTTAACCTGAGATGGCGGTTGAAACTCAAAACCCAAGATCACAAAATGAAGAACCCGAATAGGATGTGTTTCTTTTTAGGAAAAGAAAGATATGAGAATCTTGAACTAGGACGTATAATCCTAGAAAGGAAAGGAGAAATGAGGCGTATTGCCCTGAGAGTTTCGAATAAGACGTATTGTCTTTGTGGGTTGACCTAAGATTGGGTGTATTACCCAAAAATGTGAATATGGTGCGTACAACCCATGAATGCTGGTGTGTATTTACCAGGATATGCATATGGTGTGTATTACCCATGAATAGAAAATTGATGTGTATTGCATGTGAATAAGGACTGGTGCGCATTGCACATGAAAGAAAGACTAGTGTGTATTACACATGAATGCAATATTGATGCGTATTGCATGGGATTTGGATTGGTGTGTCTTACTCATGAAAGAAAGACTAGTGCGTTTTGCACATGTATAAAGGACGAGTGTGTATTTGCACGGAATTCAGATTGGTGCGTATTGCATGGAATTTAGACTGGTTATATTGCACGAAATTCAGACTAGTGTGTATTGCACATGAATAAAGGACGGGTGCGTATTGCACGGAATTCAGACTAGTGCATATTGCACATGAATAGAAAGACTGGTGCGTTTTGTACATGAGTTCATAATGGTGCGTATTGCAAATGAATAAAGGACGGGTGCGTATTGCACGGAATTCAGACTGGTGTGTATTGCCCGAAGCTCTCGAATTGAGAGGCAAGAATGTGAATAGCATGAGATGAAACAACAAACATGTGAAAACCTTGGGGAACTTCCTTTTTGTGATGTTTCATTTTTGACTTGTAATCCCGCATTTTCATTGTTCCTGTATTGAGCAAAAGAAAGAGAAAATTGTTAGTTTAAAATGGTGGTTGGTTTGTGGTCTTCATGCTCTGATGACTTGACCATACTCCCGACCAATTTCTCCAACTCTACTCCAAATCCTTGGTTGAACAACCTTTGAAACTTTCTCTTTGTCAATTCAGGGTCCTTGATCTTTGGTACTACCAATTATCATGGTGCGACTAATGCCCCAAAGAATGAAGTTCCCTTTTGAATTTTTTTTCTTGACTTAAGACACTATATCGTGTTCCTTCACGAGTTTTCAATGAAGATATGTGGCGTTTTTAGTTCTTGCTCGATGGCATGTCAACTCGGATACTCAGCTTTACTTTTGGGAAACCGCAGTAAGCTATGCAATCTTTTACCTTATTTTGTCAAGAGATTATACCGAAAAGACTAAAAAAATATTAGACTTAAGAGTGTGAAAGATTTGATCAAGAAAAACTATAAACTTAAGGAGGGGAATTCCTTTTTGAAGAAAAATGAGAAAAAGAACTTATCTGGAGGCATATGTCGACTTTGAGTGAACCATATGCACTTTGGACTTGACCCCTGATCCGTTTGAGTTGTCTAGTTCTCAAAATCTGAACCATTATCAATTTAAAACTGATCTATGTATTCTTCATGCAGAGGTGTTGAGAAATGGCCATCTTTGCAAATTTCTTCTAATTAGTCATTTTCATGATGTTCTCTCCTTTTATCTTAAGTGCCCACAAGGGTTTTCATCGATAAGATCTTCTCTCTTGTCGTCTTATGATGCATATAAAGGTTTTCACAGATGAGACTCTCATTTATATATATTTTTTATTTTTACTCAACAATATTGTCTCTGATGATCAATTGTCCGTGCAAGACACATTGAATCTATCATTCTTAGAGTTGATAACAAATGTTGGTTGCTAGAATAAAATCATAAAGAAAATTACAATTTGACACTATTCTATCAAAAAAATGCCCCAGTTTTCTATAAGTACTGGAATATTGATTTTTTTTTGGTATGACCGAACCCCAAAGGGTTGCCTATGTATCCTTTCGGAATCAGGTCAAACGCAGTTCAAATTTTCAAAGAGAGGATTTTTTTTTGTTTTTTTTTTGGAAGAGGTGCCTTTGTTATCCCAACCATAAACTTGTCACAGTATCTTAGAACACATTAGATGTAGTATCTTTTGACTGTGTCCGCATTAGCTATTATGCCTGTGATTTTTCCCTCCACATCAGTAAGGTGCAAGGCTCTTTTGGACAACACTTCCTTGATAAGATATGGACCTTGCCAATTTGGGGTAAACTTTCCCTTGACTTCTTCTTGGTGCAGAAGAATGCGCTTTAAGACCAGTTGACCTACTTCAAAGTGTCTTGGTTGCACCTTTTTGTTGTACGCACGAGCCATCCTTTACTGATAATGCTGACCAAAACAGACGACCGTCAATTGTTTCCCATCTATTAATGTGAGCTGCTCTAGTCGGGTTTTGACCCATTCAGTATCTTCAATTTCGGCCTCGACAATTATTCGAAGAGATGGAATTTTGGCTTCCGCTGGTATCACAGCCTCAGTCCCATACACCAACAAATAAAGAGTTGCACCAATCAAGGTGTGCACTATTGTGTGATATCCCAAAAAGTGCAAAAGGCAGCTTCTCATGCCCTTGTCTGGTGCCTTGAACCGTCCTCCTGAGAATCTTTTTGATATTCTTGTTGGCTGCCTCCACAGCTCCGTTGGCTTTTGGTCGGTATGGAGTAGAATTGTGATGCACAATTTTGAACTGCTCACATACCTCCTTCATCAAATTACTATTAAGGTTTGCAGCATTATCTGTGATGCTATTCTTGAGATACAAAAACGACAAATGATGTTTGAATGGACAAAATCCACGACCGCCTTCTTAGTGACTGCCTTGAAAGTGATTGCCTCCACCCATTTAGTAAAGTAATCAATTGCGACCAAAATGAATCAATATCCATTAAAAGCTTTTGGCTCAATTGGTCTGATGACATCCATTCTCCATGCAACAAAGGGCCAAGGAAGTGGCCATGGGGTGCAATTTTGAAGGAGGTGAATGAATGAGATCACCATGAATTTGACACTGATGACATTTTCTTACAAAGCGAAAGCAATCCCATTCCATGGTAAGCAAGTATTATCCTGCTCGAAGTATCTTTTTCGCAAAGACATATCCATTCATGTGTGGTCCACATACCCCAACATATATTTCATTCATGATCTTCTCGTCTTCTTCAGCATCCACACATCTCAACAAGTTCAGATCCGGGGTTCGTTTATATAAAACTTCCCCGCTAAAAGAGAAACCACTAGCCAGACATCTAATAGTTCTTTTTTGGCTTCCATTGGCATGTTCGGGACATTTCTGTGTTTGCAAGAAATTCTTGATGTCTAGGTACCACGGCTCACCATCTGATTCTGCTTCCACAGTGTTACAATAGCCATGTTGGTCCCGGAGTTGAATCTCCAAAGGAGTAATACAAGTGTTTCTAAGATATGGAAGCATTGAGGCAAAAGTAGCCAAGGCATCTGCCAATTCATTATGAAATATATGGATGCATCTAAATTCGATGGACCTAAACCTTTTGCTAAGATCTTCCACACATTGTTTGTATGGAAGAAGCTTGAGGTTTCGAGTTTTCCATTCGCCTTAAGTTTGCCGAATAATCAAATCAGAATCTCCCAACACAATCACTTCTTGCACACCAAAATCTATTGCCATATTTAGACCCATGATACAAGCTTCATACTCTGTTGTGTTATTTGTACAGAAGAAACGAAGTCGAGCTGTTGCAGGGTAATGCTGTCGTACAGGCGAGATGAGAATTCCCCCAATCCATGTGCCTTTTCTGTTGATTGCTCCATCAAAGTATAATTGCCAGGCCTGATTTTCATCTGGATCTACTTCTTCAACTGAGTTAATCTCTTCATCTGGAAAATATGTATCCAATGGTTCGTAGTCGCCATCAACTAGATTCTCTGCCAAGTGGTCTGCCAAAGCTTGACCTTTCATTGCAGTTCGAGTGACATATATAATGTCAAATTCAGTGAGCAAGATTTGTCATTTCGCGAGTCTACAAGTTGGCATTGGGTTCTGAAAGATGTACTTCAGAGGATCCATCCTAGATATGAGGTAAGTTGTGTAGGACAAAAGTTAATGCCTTAACTTTTGAGCTACCCAAGTTAGGCGCAACATGTCCTTTCCAAAAGGGTGTACTTGACCTTATAACTAGTGAATTTCTTGCTCAGGTAGTAGATAACTTGCTCCTTCCTCCCTGTGAAATTGTGTTGACCGAGAACACACCCAAAGGAATTATCTGTCACAGAAACATATAGAAAGAGAGGCCTATCAGGTTCAGACGGGACCAATACGGGAGGGTTTGACAAATACTCCTTGATTTTTTCAAAAGATTGTTGACAATCCTCCGTCTATCTGACAGCAACATCCTTTTTCAAAAGTCTGAAAATGGGCTCACAAGTGGTTGTGATTTGAGCAATAAACATGTTGATGTAGTTCAACCTCCCAAGTAGACTCATGACTTCGGTCTTATTTTTCGGGGGTGGCAAATCTCGAATGGCTTTTATCTTGGAAATATCCAATTTGATTCCCCTTCTACTGACAATAAAACCAAGAAGTTTTCTAGATGGAACTCCAACTGCACATTTTGCTGGATTAAGCTTGAGATCATATCTTCGCACTCTTTCAAAGAATTTTCTCAGATTTTGCACATGGTCAGCTTGTGTTTTAGACTTGATGATTACGTCATCGACGTATACTTCAATATCTTTATGCATCATATCATGAAACATGGTGGTCATAGCCCTATGTAAGTTGCCCCTGCATTTTTAAGACCGAATGGCATGACCCTGTAGCAATAAGTCCCCCATGGAGTGGTGAAAGCAGTTTTCCCAGTGTCCTCTTCATCCATCAAGATTTGATGATACCTCGCCTAACAATCCACAAAAAATTGAATTTGGTGTTTGGAATTATCAATTAGAATGTGGATATTGGGAAAGGGAAAGTTGTCTTTTGGACTAGCTTTGTTCAAATCTCGATAGTCAACACAAACTCTTGTCTTTCCATCTTTTTTTGGCACAGGAACAACATTTGCCAATCAAGTAGTGTAACGAATGACTTGAATCACATTTGCATTTAGTTGTTTCATGATTTCTTCCTTGATTTTTTCACTCACGTCCGGTTTGAATTTTCTTCTTTTCTGTTGGACGGGTGGAAAATCAGGATGAGTGGGCAACTTATGGACCACTAAATCAACACTCAAACCTGGCATGTCATCATAAGACCAAGCAAACACATCTTTGTATTCAAACAAAAGTTGTATTATGGCATCCCTGATTTCCTACTTGACATGAAGCCTTATTTTTATTTCTTTAACTTCCTCAGTACTTCCCAAATTGATTGCCTCGGTTTCACTATGATTAGGCTTAGGTTTGTGCTCAAACTGTTCCAATTCCCTATTAATTTCCCTAAAAGCCTATTCTTCATCATATTTAACCTCTTCACTCGGTGATTCAAGAATAAACAACTCTTTGAGATTTGGGAGTGAATTCCGCATGCATATCATGTTATCAAAGTCGGCATTTACAGAAATGAAAAATAGAAAATAAGAATTAGGGGAAGGGAAAAGACAAAATTTTTACTACGAAACTGGAATTTCATTTCGTTGAAATTGAAAAAAGGATAGAAGGGTTTGACACTAATACAAAATACTTTCAAATATTCGGATCACAACTCTGACAACAAAAAAATACAAAAGAGTAGCAAAACAAACTACCAAGACTCCTTCCTTATGGGGAAAGGAGTGGCTTCCCAATTGTTTAGCTCAACACCTGAGCCCACTAGCTACACATCGTCATGACTTGTACCTTCACCACCTTGGACCATGTTTACTTCACAAAACAACTGACTGAGATCCTGAATAACTTTTTCAATGTCTTCATGAGTAAAGGAAACTTCCATTTCTGACCCTGAGGCTTGATAAAGGAATGATAAATATGGGGAATCGGTTGTGGCAGCGCCCAATCAGTCCTTTTGTGGTTCTTAGCCTTATCTCCATTTATCTTGCTTTATTTGTATCTGATCCCCGATGTGCCATGGTTTTCTAAAAGAGTAATCGGATCCACAATTCCTTGCGAACATAGTCCCAAACCTTTACCAGGTTGATAACCATATTTGAGCATGAGGAAGAAGAGAGACA